CAAGTTCCTTTATACGGCTGGATCTCTGCACATGCTCGGTCCTCTGCCGGGAGCACCTTCCCGTGCAGCCTTATTGGCCTGGCCAACGGCCTCTCATTTCTTGGACACAGGCCTCGCCTCAATGGTCAGGTTTGTTCATTTCGGTCCTCACAGTCTGGCTGAGCACCGAGCACCACCCGCCCCCACCCCACACCGAATTACTAACGACCAACAGCATAAAGGAGAAAAGCCTTCAACACAGAGTTTACGACGCTTTCATAAACAGTCCAAGCTCCGTGGCTGCCTCTGGGCTGTGCGGGGTACAGACTGACCAGGAGGGGCAGCAGGGAACGTTCTGGGGGTCCTGGTAATGTTCTAGATCTCAACAGGGGCTTGGGTGACTCGTCTGTCAGCAAACGTCAAACAGTAACTTCAGATTCAGGCATTTCACTATGTAAATTCTGCTTTAAGAAAATCAGAACTGTTATACAGATATGGAACTCTAGCTCGTGGTTTGCACGGTGAAGTGTTTGGGGGAAGGATCCTAAGGATTTCAAAGTAAGTTTCAGATACCAAAAAAAAAAATTAGCCGGTCGGCTAGTCGGCTGGCTGGTCGGTTGGTCGGCTGGTTGGCTGGCTGGTCGGCTGGTCGGCCAGATACGTGATCAAGCAAGATTAGCAAAATGTTAACTGTGAAATCGGACTGGTGAGTAGATGGGTATTCATTGTGTCATTCTTCCAACTTTTCTGTGAGTTTGACATGCTCACAGCAATATACTGGGGGGGAAATATATTCCATATTTATGGACAGGGCTAAAAATACTTCTTACGCCAAATGAACTGAGCAATTTTCCTGAATGTGCTAAACCAATGCTTTTCAACCGTGAACCACCCGTGGATCTTGTTAAAACGAGACTCTGACCCAGCAGGGCTCAACTGGCCTAAGACTCTGCATTTCTAACAGCACCTGGGGAATGCTGATGCAGCTGGTCCAAAGACCCCACTTTGAGAAGTCTATGCTAGGACCACATTAGCCCTTGACACCTCCAAGTGCAAATGGAAACACCCTCCTGCACCCACCCCACCCTAACTAGGAGGCTCAGGACCAGCAAGCGGAAGGATCACAGGCGGGGGCCAGACAGGAACCTCAAGAGAGCCCCATGAGGCTTGGTCAGCCATTCCCAGATTCCAGGCAGCCCAGGGCCTGGAGGAGAGGGGTGAGCAGCCCTACCAAAAAACCAAGGCCAGAACAGACATCTGAGTCACGCAAAGGGCACAGGGCCAGCTGGGGAGGACACCGCCCTCGGTGACTCAGCAAGACAGAGCCCGGAGAAGCCCAGCGCTGCCGGCTCCCGTGCAGGCCGGGCCACCCCAGGGGCATGGCTGACCGCTCCCTCCGAGGACAAGCAACGTATGACCGCAGCTCTGACCTCAGGAGAGCAGCTGGGGCTAGGCTCTCCGCATCTCTGGGGCTCCAGTGTGATGCAAGCCCTGAGGATGAAGGGGAGACAGGCAGAGAAAGCACCTAACAGTGTGTCCCTCCCCGATCACAGGCCTCAGATCCCAGGGGGAAGGGGCTGCGCCAAATGGAGCCTCCAAATGGGGCCTCAACCCATTTTCAAGAAGGGGGCACTGAGGTCCTGGAAGGAGGAGGGACTTGCCTGAGGTCACAAATCTAAGTCCTAGACCCTGATTCTCAGGCTTCCCAGGCTTCATCACGACTGGAGTTACACAGCTGTTTGTCCAGTCGCCCATTCAATGGCCGTCCCCTGCAAGGCCACAAGCTTCCTGAGGGTACCCCGTAGACTGCACTGTCCAAAGACGGCCAGACATCATGTGCCATCCCACAAGCTCTTCTTAGGACGAGACCTGACATCTCCCCCATCTAGAGGTGGGGGCTGTGTCCCCACCCGCCGAACCCAGGCCGACTTTTGGGATGGCCTCCACTGAGAGAGTGGCAGGAGTGACACTACGGGATGTCTGGGACTGGGTCATAAGCGGTGACACAGCTTCCACCTGGCTCTCTGTCTAGGAACACTCGCTCTCAGACGCGAGCAGCCCCACCGTGACGTCACCCAGGCCACCAAGACATGGACTGTCAAGTCCATTGGAGGCTCAGGCCAGGGGCCAGCGCTAACCACCAGACACGGGAGCGAGGGTGGCTACTGTCGGAGAGACCCCACGGGGGAGCCGCCCAGCTGGCCCAGGCAACGCCCAGGACTATGAAACCTAATAATAAACTACTGTTTCTTGGAACCAAATTCAAGGTGGTTTGTCACGGAGTCATAGATAACTGTAGTGAGGCACGAACCACATCGACTTCACACCCTGCTGTGTCCCCAGAACCAAGCACGGTATCCAAGAGATGCTTAACGAATGTCTACTGAAGGGCTAAAGGGAGCCTGGGGTCTACCCAACCCCAACCGGAGGCTCCTCTTCCGTGACACCCTGTTGCTTCCACCATCTGATTCAGGGTGTAAGTTAGGGTCTAACAGGCCAACCATCTTCTCTAAGCTTAGATTCCTCATGAAAAAAAGAATGGCTGGACACAAGAGTCAGGGTGTCCCAGGCCCCGGGCATGGCAGAGCAGGCCCCAGGCCCTGGCTGCTGAGAACACAGAAAACACAACAGGATGAAGAAGCCAGCTCTGCGAGCACCCAGGCAAGAAGCTAAAGGAACTTTATCCAAATCCCCAGAGGGAACCAGAAATCAGAAACTCCCTCCCCCATAGAGCACCTGAGACCGTCCCCCGTGGAGGGTGGCTTTCCAGGTCTTACAGGGAACCTGAGGAGCCAGTCGAGCTCCAGGCCGCCCTGCCAGCTTCTCTCAGGCTCAGCTGACCCTCAGAGCAACCCAGGGTCCGCCGTCACTCAGGTGGGTCTGACTTGTTCGGCGTGCGCTCTCCAGCTTGAAAGCACAGGCTGACATTTAATAAATGTTTCCTGATGGGGACACGCCACAGCCATGTACACAAACACGGAGGCACAGGAGACCCCAAGCCATAGACATCTGAGCCCTTCCTCCGTGCCAGGCGTGAGCTGGGATCCAATGGGTGTCCCAGGCATGGTCGCTGCCCTTGTGAACTTTATACACACGCAAACACACACACACGCACAAGAACACACGAATGCACATATGCACACAAACACAGACACATTTTCGTGCAAACATGTGACCAAAAACATATGCACATGCACACATACAAAAACCTGCACACACACCTATGTGCACAAACATACATGCGCACACACGGGCTCACACACACACACGCTGCAAATTTCTCCAACACCGTTCCTCCTTGAGCAGGTAAGTCCAAGATTGGAGCCTCTCAGAATGCACACCAAGACACTGGTTTCAAACAAACACTTTGGCAAGTGTCAACCTCCTCCATGCCAATTCCCCACAGGTGCCTTCACCACCCACAAAGGCAGCCTCGGCCTTTTGCTGAGGAGCAGGCCAAACCCAACAGAACCACAGCAGCTGAAAACTGCCCCTGCTGCAATTTCCCTGGTTAACAGCCGACTAACCACAAACAAAGCGTCAAATAAATGCTCCAAAGCTTCCCCTCCCACTCAGAATAAAACCCAATGGCTCAGGCAAACACAGGCAACTGTCCCCACATGTGAGATGCCGTGTCTTAGCCGTCTCTGGCCTCTCGCTGTTCCAGCCACACTGGCCTTTCCTGCGGCTCCCCTGACATTTCACGGCAGCTCCTTCCCCAGGGCCTTTGTACTTGCCAGCCCTCTGCCTGGACCCCTCTTCCTCTGGGTATCTGCTCAGCTCGCTCCCTCGCTCCAGTGAGGTTTCATGAGGGAGGCCTTCCCTGATGGCTCCTATCACTTCGAAACTACCCATGACCCTCAACCAACATATCAATTTCCTTTCCAGGCTTTCTTCTCCTCCTCAGGATTTACTGCCACCTGACTGATAATACTTGGCTCCTGGGTTACTGTTCGTCCGCCCCTCTCCCACCCACCCCCATGACAACGCAGGCATCAGGTGGACAAGAACTGCTTTATTCACTGCCACAGTCCTGTGCCCAGATCAGGGCCTGGTACGTGGCACTGGATGGAAAGAGGGAGGGAAGAAGGGGGAGGAGGGAGGGAGACGGGGAAGGTGGAAGGAAGAGAGGGAAACAGAGAGGAAGAACGGAGGCAGCCGTGGTAAAGGACTATGTCCCCCTTTATTCCATCAGCAGGAAGACTGGCTGTTTCTCCAGCCCACCCACTCATATCCATGGGTACATACAGAATTTCCATGTGCCTCCAACAGACAGAACAAACCAAGGGTCTCCAACTCAAATCCCCCAGGGGCCAGGCACAGACCGTAAAAGAAGCAAGACTATATAATGCAAGAGGGAGTGGTGGGGATTGCAGTAAAGTAGGGCCATGCGCCCCAGCTGAGGTCAAACCGCAGCTGTGGGGGATAATGGTCCGAACACTGCCAGAACTTCTCGTTTTTCTAGAAAACCTGCATAGTTAGAATTTATGGGAAATTGGGCGCCTGGGTGGCTCAGATGGTTAAGCGTCTGCCTTCAGCTCAGGTCATGATCTCAGGGTCCTGGGATCGAGTCCCGCATCGGGCTTCCTGCTCCTTGGGAGCCTGCTTCTCCCTCTGCCTCTCTCTCTCTCTCTCTCTGTCTCTCATGAATAAATAAATAAAATCTTAAAAAAAAAAAAAAATTTATGGGAAATTTCCTAACTTTTAAATGTTTGCTCACATGTTCTAAAATCACTATGGCAATCAAATGAGAAAACCTACATGCCTGCAAGACACAGCAGTTTACAATTATAAATTCAATTCCCTCCTTAAGTCCCCCTAGCCAAAGCTTGGCCTCTATTTTTCCATCTGTAGAGTGGGATGATGATACAACCTCTCTCTGGGCCTTTGGGGAAATGGAATGAGATCCCAGATGGACGATATTGGCACAGATGTCTAACCCACGGAAGCTTGCACGGTGCAGTATTTTTCTCACACGCGCACATGCACGCACACACACACGTGTCTCTGATCACACTTACGGGGTCGTGGATGGTTTCAGAGAACAGGGGTGGTCGGTCCGAGAAACAGGACAGCACGAGCTGCATCAGCACGAGGGAAAAGTAAATGTAGAAAGTGACATCGCGAAACACGTCGATTTCAGCATCCTAAACGTGAGCGGAGGAAGGAAGAGATCACTTTCTGAAAGCAGCCTGCAGAGGCTGGGGTAGGGGAGCAGGCTGCAGACCCAGAAACAAGCTCTCCTGCCCTGAGCCACCTCCCCCAACAGGAGAGAGGCGGTTACATCACGGTGTGGTCCCCGATACCCCGTGAGGGTGGCCCACGTGGTGAAGGGAGGCTCGGGCGTGGGAGTGAAGCAGGCCCACATTCAAGGCCTGTCTCTTTGTACCGGCCCCCGATGTTGCCAGCTCACTCAACCTTTCTGCATTTCAGTTTCTATAAACGGATCAGCAGTTCTCAGTCGGGGGCGATGTTGCCTCCCAGGGAACACCCGGTAGTATCTAGAGACATTTCTGTTCACCCTGACTTGGGCACTGCTCCTGACACCCAGTGGGTGGAGGCCTCGGATGCCACCCCCACCCCCCAAACATCCTACGAAGGTCAGGACAGCCCCTTACAACAAAGACGTCTTGGGCCCAAAATGTTAATTAGTGCTGAGGCTCAGAAACTCCATCGGAATAATCGTGAGCCGTCAATAGGATTACTCATGGAAAAAAAAAAAAAAAACTTCGTCCCTGCCTGGCACCTTGGAAACATGACCTCAATATAGGTCAGCTGCCCTGAGTACAAAGACCGCCTGTACTGAACACCACAGGTGCTCAATAAATGCTCAAGATACCGACTGGCTTGAAGGTGGCAGAGAATAGCAGGGTAGTGTCTAAAAAAGCACGCTCCTCCGATTTCCTGGGAGCGGCGTATGGTAGCCAATGTGAGCCACTTCTTAGCCAGAGTGGCGGCTGATGGCACCGAGGTAACCCGGGGACAGGTATCGGGCCCCGCAGGGGGGCAGCCGCTCTGCAAACACCACTCCCCACTCAGCTCTGTTCCAGACTGACGGTAACTAGAGCTGAACTGCCTTGCTGTTTACTACCGAGAGAGGCTTAGAGGGTGGTGTGCATTTGCCTGTGGCTCCCATCCCTGGCCCCTGAAGCTACATAACTAAGTGGGGCCCTGAGGAAAGAAGGTTCTAGAACAAAGGCTGGATGAGCTAGGGAAATCCCTGGTTAAGAAGCTGGGCCCGGGTAGCACCCATCCTCTGGTTCCCATGGCAACGTAAGCTGGAAGGAGCAAGCATCCCTCCCAAGGGGCCGCTGCGGGAAGATGTGGAATAAGGCCACCACTTACCTCTTTTAAGGCAGTCATGATTTTGGATCGCAAGATGGCAAGGGCACACAGTAGGGCTACAAGCCAGAAAGTGAGCATGATCCCCGAGGACTGGACTCCCTTCCTTCTCTCGAGCTGAATCAAAAAGGTAGCAAGCAACTGCGAGAGAGAAGCATACAACAGGATTTGTCAGAAGACCAGGCCCCAGGCCCCCACAGTCCTGGCAGATGTTAGGCCTGGAGTAGGGCTGCCCTCAGCTCAGTGGTGCCAAAAAACAGCCTGGGGAGGACCCAGCTCCAGTGCCAGCCCTGCTCTTGCCTTGCTGGGTGACCCTGGACAAGTCACTGACCTCTTCTGAGCCTCCGATGCCTCTAACTACAGCATGTAACGTGGAAGTGGTGGGAATTTAAGGAGACTGTGTATAGATGTGGGACAGGATGGCAGAGTCAGAGGGAAACTCAGTTTACAAGAGAGAGGCACACTTTTTCCTGAATGAATGGGCATCGCTGAGTGCCAATAAAACTTTATTTACAAAAACAGGCAGTGGACCGACCCTTCATTTACAGGTACTCCCAGCCCTGACAAAGACTAATTATATTCTCCTCTGGGCAACAGTGAAGACTGGTCTCTTTCATAAGGAGATGAAGGTTCTGTCATCTGCCTACATTTATACATCTCATCTGCAGGGAACTTTATTAGAATGACGGTGGGTGGGGGAGGTTGGGATTTTCTTTTATTCCTGATACGTGAGGCTCTCACTCCATTTCGCACATGACTTAACGATCAGGGAGAGAAAATAAGCGAGAAGGAGGAGAAAGAAAGACAAAGAAGGAGAAAGGTCATGGTCACTCCCGGGACAAGCAGAGCTGGCCTCCCAAGGCCCATCCCCAAAGCCGGTCATGAGCCAGACTTCTGAGGAGCTAAAGGTCACCCACGGTACCTGCCCTTACTCCCCAGAAGCATATCCACCCGTCTGTCCTCATCCTCCTTGGGGGGACCCCTATTTCCCTCACTCTGCACATTTAATCCATCAGCAGCTCGCACTGGCCCTGCCACCAGGACTGATCCTCAGTTTACCCACCACTCCCCCTGGCCCCAGCCCCCTCCCCTCGCACTGCGTGACCCCATGGGCCCCCCACTGGCCTCCCAGCTTCCCCTCTTGCCCCAATAATACAATCTGTTCTCCACTCAGAGGCTACAGTCGGCTTTTCAATACACAGAGCCAGGCATGCCACACCCTTGCTCCAAACGTCTCCCTGTTTTAACCTGGGGTCCAAGGACAGGCTGCGGCTAGAACCCAGAGGTCCGTGAACTTGGACGGGAGAACAATTACATCTTCGCTTTCGCTCAAATCAGCACCACCGGTCACTGAGTGAAGGCAATAAACTGCACAGCATTAGCGGTACCTGGGGCCCTGTCACCATTAGAAATTGTATCTGAAAATATATAGGTGAAGGTGTCTCCCATGATCACGTATGCTCATCACAACTTGGAAATTCAGAAGCATTCCTACCCGCTGGTAGATCTTGATTTGAAGTGCACATATATGTTTCCCTTGTTTTTTTTAATATTTTGCTAACTGTGTTTAAATACAGTTGGTTTTCCAAACCCAGGGCCCTGCACCTGAACAATGGATAAACACTGTGTGGTGAAACCATGCCATCAAACCCACAGAGCAACTTAAAAACAAACAAATGAAACATCTCTGGACACACACAAGGCGGCTGAACAGCAGGTCTGAGAAGTTCGCCTCACACAGCCCCAGCCAGCATGGTGCCATTCACATGACATTCTGGAAAAGGCAAAGTGATAGGGACAGAAAACACACCCACGGTTGCCAGGGGATGGGGGTGTGGAGGGAGGGGCTGACCACAAAGCGGGGGCAGCACGAGGGAACTTTTTAGGGGGATGGGACTGTTCTGGATCTCAACTGTGGAGCTGGTAGTTACATGACAGTGTGGGTTTATCACAACTCATGAACTTATCTTTTTTTTAAAAAAAGTGAATTTTACCATATCTAAATTACACCTTAAGTAAAAACATGGATGTCATCACAAAATCTTCATACGTGTGTGTATGCTGGGTTTCCTTTGCGATCCTTTGTATTTGTGTTAGGAGCATGATCCTCAGACCTGACTGGCAAAGGAGAAAGGGGCCCATGGCACAGAAAAAGTTTTAGAACCCACGTTTGGGAATGCAAAACAAAACCCACTCACCCTGAAGCTCAAGGTCCTACGGGGTCAGGCCTCTGCCCTTCTTGCCGTCCCCGCTCCCCTCCTTACTCCCTCAGCCACACAGGCCACCCCCCCCATTTCTCCCTCTGACCCCAGGACTTTTGTACGTGCTATTCTCTCCAACTGGACAGTCCTCTGCCCCCAGCCTCTTCAACTTTTTAACATCGTGCTCATCGTTTAGCCTCAGCTCCATCACCCCTTCTTCCTTAGCCCCCAGACCAAAAACATTCGCCAAATTTCACCCCATGGCACTCTGCACAAGAGCAAACACTTTGTGCCTTTTGGGGGAATCGTCCATTGAGTATTTGTTTGCACAACCGGACATATGCTCCGTGAGGGCAGGAACCGTGTCTATCTTATCTCCAATTCCTGGCAATCTGCTGGCTGCTCTCATCCCATAGCCCGGGTGCCTGTATACGCCTGCCCCCGGGGGTGTGGAGAGAATGTCACTGTAGCACAAACAGCAGGGCCGATCCTTCACTCCGTCATGGAGCCCACAGGGGAAGAGAGACACTGCGGCTCTCACAGGCCAGTTCACCTCTTAGCTAGCTCAGAGCCTCAAATGGCATAAAGCCCAGTGACCCTCAGCCCATCACACCCATGTCGCCAGCATCACAGACATACTCATGAATGAAGAATCAGAAGACCAGGAAGAGGGAAAATTTAGGCATCACGAGCCAATCCAGCCAAACCCAGTCCACCTTTACACCTTCTTGCCCAAATTTCAGGCCAGCAAAATCAAGCTCTTCATTTGCCAACTCCCTCGACACATTTATGGAGTGCTTATTACATGCGAGGCATGGTGCCCGGCTATGGGGACACAGAGGTGAACAAAGCCCACAGGGAGAGCCAGGTTTTGGCAAAGAATCCCACAAACAGTGGAGCAGACCCTGGGGTGTGAAGCCGGTTCTGCCACTTACTGGCTGTGTGACCTTGGGTCAGTTCCTTCATTTCTCTGTATCTCAACGTGCTTATCTATGAACATAGGGATAGTGAGCAAAAATCCCTAAATGAGTTAATATGTAAAGGGATCAGGACTGTTAACAAGTATAATAAAGATTCATGGCCCACAGGACACCTGGACAGCTCAGTCGGTTAAGCAGTTACCTTTGGCTCAGGTCATGATCCCAGAGTCTTGGGATCGAGCCCCACATCGGGCTCCTTGCTCAGCAGGGAGCCTGCTTCTCCCTCTCCCACTCCCCCTGCTTATGTTCTCTCTCTCTCTCTCAAATAAAATCT